TTTATGTCAAATAGTCCCCTGGTAGTCAGGTCGATCCTATTGGCATAGTTGAGTTCAACCATCATGATAGCAAAGAACTTATTAAATTTTATACTCCCCGGGTAGTCCAGGCGTCTAGTAAAAAATTGAATAATTCTCTCAATCCATGCATCTAATGCAATAAATAATTTTAACATATTCTCGAACTATAAGTCTCCCGGTAGTCAGGCCACTCCTTATAAACAAAAAATAAGTAAAACTATTTACTTTGATGGATAGCTCTATAATAAAATTTCTTATATTTTATTATTTAAGAACTCAAATTTTAGAAAGAGAGAGTTTTTACTAAAACAGTTTTTAATAACATGAAGATCAAAATTTAGTTCAAGTTGTCTACATGCTTGGTCCTAAATTAATTTACATCACATGTAATAAATAATTCAAAATTATGTAACGGACAAGCATGCGACATAAAAACGAAATTCAACATTCTTCTAACATGTTTATCTTATATATCACATATATCAAATAAAAATAATTCATGCCAAAATATTATTATTAATTAACATCTCATGAACTAATAACAATTAAAAATAACAATAGAATCCAATAACCTATTATAGATACCTGTCGTATCTAATACAAAATTTCAAATTCAAGTTACAAACTATCTCAGTAGTTTAACTTGTATAAATACATATTTTATTTACAATAAAATAATATCAATGTAATATGGATTCAAACAATTTGAATATTGCACAATACACACGTATTGTGATTTTAGCTCTTCAAATATAATCTTAAAATGTTTCGTAAATAAATTTTAGACACGAGAAACCATCGCTCTGATACCACAGTAGGATTGCATATAGGTGTTCATAACACGCAGCGGAAGACAATAACAATCCTAGGCAGATCTTTTCGTGTTTAAAATTTATTTACATGTCAATAGATCGGATCTAAGACGTACCTGGTGAAGAAAGTCTCGTTTCAAATCCTTCAATAGTGCGAAGAATCTATGCGTATTCACACCGAGACCTATCCTTGCTATCAACTATGTCATCAGCGAAACCCGCGAATAAATAAAACGAAAATACCAGGCTGAATTTTTCTCAAAATTTCAGCTTTAACGTAACAGTACAAGGAAACTAATTTTCCTTCTCAAAGTATACTCTCTTTTATTTGTGCAGCTCTTCCAAACCTTTTTGTACACTGTTTAGTTTTCACCGTGATTTATATATATACATATTTGTATCACGTAAATAATACTTTTCCACTAGGTTAAGGAAAAGTAAGCCGTGCTTTTCCAATTTTTTTTTTTTTTTTTTTTTTTTTNTTGCAAAGTTTGTTCCATAATTGAACTTCATAGAATCTTTCAATTGGAAAATTGAATTCCATTCCAAATGGGTATATGGCAGCCAGCTTACACGTTGAATTAACATTAATTACTTGATCCAATTCAAAATTGGATTACAAGAATAAATTATATTGTATATGCAACCTTTATATAACTCAATATTAATATATATCACATATATATTTTAATCCAGAGATACAATTCAAATTTCTATTCTAAATAGAAAGCGTCAATTTGTTCACAATATTAATTATATCCCATGTGCTAGCAAAGAATATAATAATATTTCATTTGGACTAATAACTAAATTTATTTGACTAATCAAATTCTTTAATTTAATTATCAAATAATAAAGTAATTAATCTTTTAGCAAAGATCAGAACACTCGTTAGTATGCGATCCCATAGGTTCAATACTAAGCCGGTAGTACATTAATCAGATCAATATACTAATCAAGGGTGGCGTCTAGCAACACTCCTTAACAATCGGATAACATGAAGTATACAATTTACCCTCACAAACCTGTAGAAGAATAAAGTAGTACTTCCTTCTGTCCTTATAACTCTGGATCACCCTAGAATATGGTTCAACTGTCAAATCCTAATAGGCGACCAACTATGTGTTCATGTCATGTATAATCGACCATTGAATGACCTAAGAAACTCTTTTCTTCTTTCATTCAATTGCCCTAGCCAAGGTCTTAATTTGGTCGTTTATAATTCATGACAACATAGAGCTTAAACTCACTACCAAGAGTTGACAGATTCCATCTTGATCAATCACTGATTCTACAAATATTCAATCGTACCCAATATCCTTTCACTATCGCCCTAGGGTCATATGTGTCTAGTATTGAAGCACAACAAATAACTTGTCAATTACTATGACGATATTAGGTCAAAGGAAACTCTTACATCACATTCTTCAAGAGAATATCTTATTGACAGTTTATGGTAATTCTAACCATTAGGAATTATCCAATGAGTCGGTTCAATGATCATATCTCTATATGCATCATCTATCTATGTGAGTCAGTTAATGAGATCAACTAATCTTTATTCCATAAAGACAATCACATAAATATTGATCTAACCGGATTACTAATGTCCAAATTAATAATCATACGATCAAGAACAAATTTAGATTAAATTGTAAGAGACTTTGCTCTCATTATCATGATCTCTATCACGATGACAAATCTCAAAATTTAATCAAAGACCTTATCAAATTAATCAAACAATTAATAATAACTATGATAAAAGAATATCATATGCCATATATTTTTATATCAAATAACGTTCAGAAAAATATGTTCAAATCATCAAATATAAGATTGGATCTAGGGCATATCTACTATATCCCTAACAATAGCATCTTGGTAGAAGTGTTTGATGTCAAGGTCTTAGGGTTCAGAGTTGTAAAATCAAGATTCTTGGGAACAAATCGTACATTAGTAGTTTGATAGAAGACAATTTGAATATTTTTACTAATGCCTTGATGTTTAAGCTGTGGTATTATTTATATAGTATCAATGACTTAACATTACTTGCAGAGATCTATTTGATAATAATTTACATGCATCAACTGTTAACATATGCAATTTCATCTCAAAACAAGTTTGATAAAAAAATGATAGTTTTAACTTTTATAATATTGGGCTCGTGTTGACCTGAGTTATCACTATGACTGTCCAACGGGACGGAACGGGCCGAAATTAATAGGACGGGACGGGACGACATTTAAGCGGGACGGTGGCGGGACGGGACGAAACGGGACAGGACAAACGGGACGAAACGGTCGTCCCATCCCGTCCCGCTAACAAACGGGACGGGACGGGTTCGTGGGCCTTAAGTGTATTTTCTTTTAAAAAAAACGTGTAGTTTTTTAAAAAATTACTATGTTTTTAAAGTTTGCAACGGCTAGATTTTTGACTTATTTAATAAACTTAAATGTTATTATGTTTAAACGAAAATTAGAAAACTAAGTAAAGAATTGTAAAATATTAAAACAAAAGACTTGTAATGAAATATTCTAGTAATTGTAAATTTATAATAGCGTTATAATTTATTTAATATCATTTCAAAGTATTAACTATTAAGTAACTAAGACAATTCATATAAAAAAAATTCAACGCTTAGATCCTTTTTTTTATTAATGGAACTTTCAAATCTCAAATACAAATATAATTCTTTTGAAGAGCACCTAATCTACGCAGCCACCTTCTCGGAAGGGTTCTGTTTGAACTAGGCCTCTTCGTAGCCAATTACAAATTATCATACTAATATTTGTAAGCTCCTATATAGCTTCTTTGTAACTTATCAATAATATCTCTCGGACATTGTTCTGGAATTGGCAGTATTGATTGATGTTCTATGAGCTCCATGCTGTCATCGGTCCCAGTGCTAAATATCTCATTGTATTTTTCTTCTTCCCTAGTGTTTAATTTTTTAAAACCAAGATTTCTTCTTTCTGCATAATCCAATCTCTGAATAATACGGAAATCTCTAGGTTGTCCTCTGCTAATGAATGTCTATGATCTCCGATTTGAAATATTGTTGCACTAAAAGCATTCTCCGGTGCTAAGAATCAAGTTCATCATCAATAGAGGAATCAAAACATGTTATATCATCCATATCTTCCCATAAGAATTTCTACTCTAGACTTAGAAGTAGAAGGAGCAGTTTCGCCACTTGTTGTTTCTATAGATTTATATTTATCAAACATTGATCTAGATTCTAGCATAAGAATATATGTTAACTTGGAAGTCTTCGAGAGATGGTTGTTCATATTCTTGAATTGCTAAATTTTGATAAATTTTACGAACAAGTCCATTTGCACCTCTTAATTTTAAATATGGGTTAAGTATTGTAGAAATTAAATAAACTTGGGAAATAAAGAAAAAATACTTTTAAAATTTTGCAATCATTTCATTAATGGCCGGTGCATAAGTTGGATTTATTGTATACTAACCAAATACAACAGAAATTCCACAAATATACCATAAAAACTCGCGGGACAGGCGGGACGGGACAAAACGGGACGTAATGGGACAGGACAAACGGGACGAAATGCTCGTCCCGTCCCATCCCATGTCCCGTTTAACATTGGCCATCCCGTTTAACTTGGGGCGGGGCGGGACGGGACACGGGACGGTAAGAGCACGATAGTTTCCAAAAGTTCCTCTTAAGTTAAGTTAGAATAAATGTAAAAAAACATTAACTACATTAGATAAAAGCACATAAATAAATGAAGAAGTAATCTATATTTCAAGTATCATTTGGTAAATAAATTTGAATTTCGTATAAAAACATTTCAGATGCTGAGGAAGAATAAATTATTCGTAAAATATTTTAAGAGAATATTTCAACGAATGAAGTATTTGTAAAACAATCTAAAAATTTCAATTACCAACTTTAAGTGACCTCATTCGTTCTAATCTTTATGAATAAGTTTACCCGATACAAGTTATAAGAGCTGACTCGTGAATTAGTCTGAGACGAGCATAATTGACGTAATACAATTATAAAATTGAATAAAGATTTTTTCATCCGTGGGATAAAGCAAAGAAACAAACGAAAAATAAAATAAAAAATAAACGTGAACGAAAAAAGAAAAAGAAAAGGGAAAAGTAATTGAGATATTATGGCTTTGACAATAGACAGTAGCTCCGCAGAATAACCTAATTTATAGACTGTACGGCAATAACTTAAACAGAGCCCCCTTCGTCCCCCTTAAACCTTAGCATTTTCCATAAACCCTAAATTCCTCTTTCTACCAACAGTTCTCTCTACTCGCGGCTACCATGGTTCTCTCTCTCTCTCTCTAATTTTGTGCTCTTTTGCTGAACTTTATTGAAACTCATTCTTTTTATTGCTTGTTCTAATACACAATTAAATTTTTTGTTTTGTTTTTGTAATTGATTAATTGCAGGCAACAGAAACTGTGAACCCAAAGGCATACCCACTTGCTGATTCGCAGCTTACAACGACTATAATGGATTTGGTTCAACAAGCTGCTAACTATAAGCAGCTTAAAAAGGGTGCTAATGAAGGTCATATATATTTTATATGGTCTTTTAATTATTGTTATGCTGCTTTTATAATTTTTGTATTTTACTGCTTAACTTAACTAAAGATAAAGAAAATTGGGTTAGTTTCTTTTCAGCCCCAAAAAGGAAAGAATCTTTTTTTGGGGATAATAGGCACAAAGAATGTACATCTTTTAACATTTATGATATGGTCTTTTGGTGAATAAGTTACTCTTATGGTTAGTGCTTAACTAAAAATGGAGAAACTGGGTTTGCTTTCATTTCAGCCACAAAAACTTTTACTCCCTCGTCACATTTTATTTGATGGTGTTTGACTAGGCACAAAGTTTAAGAAAAAAAGATTTTTGAAACTTGTGTATAAAAATAATCAATAGACATTTTCTTGACTATAAATCTTTTTCACTAAGGATAAAATTGGAAGTTTGAAGTTAAATTGTTTCTTAATATAGAAATGTATTGTGTTTCTTGGAACAGACTAAAAAGACCATCACAATAAATTGGGACAGAAGAAATATTGTTTTGAAACTTTATTATATGGTCTTTGCTGAATGAGTTGCGCTTATGTTTAGTGCTTAACTAAGGATTGGGAAAACTGAGTTAGGTTTTGTTTCAGCCACTAAGAATGTTATAATGTTGAGACTTAAAGATATGATTTTTTTTTTGTTGTGATGCGAATGTGTTGCTCATGAGTTGTATGTTTACTGCTTAACTGAATATAGAGAAAACTGAGTCTTTTTGGTTCTGTTTCAGCCACAAAGACACTAAACAGAGGAATTTCAGAATTTGTTGTAATGGCAGCAGATACTGAGCCCCTTGAAATCCTTCTTCACCTTCCGCTCCTTGCTGAAGATAAGGTGATTTATTGTTTGCCTTTTGCTTTTTTCCTTCAAAAAGTCTTTATCTTTTCACCCTTTTTGGGGTTGTGACTTTTTTATTCAGTAGTGGACTAACTCTGGCTAAATCAAGATTAGAACTTGACCCCTTTTTTTAGGTTTTAATTATTGCACTTTTCAAGAGTTATGTCTGTAAGTCTTTTGTGTGATGTTACGCTATTGTGATATCAGGCTCTATTGAAACCTGGTGTATGTTATCTGCAGTCCAGTTTATAAACTCATTATTTTGAAGAGTTTGTATTAAACAAGAGTCTTGTAGCTGTTTCCTGTTTTATTCTATGTTTTGACATGTAATATTTCTTTTTGTCTTGAAAGTAAACCTAAAAAGACGAAGCTAGTAGCTATGTATAGATTTTCTAGTCATTTTGTGACACGAATTATGAAATTTTCAGCGACTGTTACTATAAGGTGACTTGTGAATCCGTTCACTTTCTTAAATAGTATACTTGGTTAACCAGCTAGGATTTGAACTCATGACATGCGCCTACCATACATCACTTGTAGTGTACCTTTTCCATTGAACCAAAGCAAGCCCTGGGGGTAATCTTTCATCTACAAGGAATTGTTGCACTGCTTATCAGCATTAAGGGGTTGCTACTCTGCTTATAAACAAAGAGAATTGTATAACATAACTTACTCCCATACAGTTTTATTTTGTGAGTGTATTTAAATTGGAATAAGGACATCATTATCAATGATAAGAAAATGCACTGTACTTCTGATTACGTCTGGATCATCATATGTGGAAAAAACATTGACAGCTAAAAAAGGAGAAATCATATTAGGAGTAAACAGTTGTAAGGGATGTTATTGTTGATATAATAGGTTAAACTAACCTGCTTCTACACAAATATATTTATTTGTTATTGATTTATGTAGTCTTTTACGATCTCAAACTGTTTCTTCAGTGCATCTGCATGGTCTGAGTGATAGTTATACCCATAATTTTGATATGTAGTCTTTGAACAATGATCTGAGTATGAATGCTCATATCTTTCAGTTTTGCAATTTTCCCTACTGTTTCCAATATTTGGTGCTAAATAGCTACATTATTCAAATAATATTTTAGATAACAGGCAAGCTTGGATTTAAATAAAGAGTTCTAACTTTTTGCTGTCATCGTTCCCTCCTCGTACTTTCAGAATGTGCCCTATGTCTTTGTCCCTTCAAAGCAAGCTCTTGGCCGGGCATGTGGTGTCACCCGACCTGTAATTGCTTGTTCAGTGACAAGCAATGAGGGAAGCCAGTTGAAATCTCAAATACAACAATTAAAGGTAATATTCCAAAGGGTTTGTTTGTCTATTTATATACTTATTCTTCCCCTGTGTAATAATACTAAAATCCTTGTTTCTTCCCTTGTGCCGGATGCCATTGAAAAGCTTCTCATCTAAATGTTGAGCCTTTGCAGCATGATGGGCCTTTTTGAGGCTTGGACTGAAGTAGTTGTCCTGTTGGCACTTTTCTATCCTTCTTTCTTTCTTTTTTGTTCCTGGATTTTATGATTAATGTTATAATAGTACCAATAGACGCATGAAAATTTAAAATCAGGTTTACATTATAGTTAAGCTTGAGTTTTATTATATCATGTATCTATGTTTAATGTAATTCTGATTTTCCTCTGATCATTTTGTTCCGCAGCTCCTTTGAAGCATTTGGTTGAATGATTTGCTCATTTCTAGTCGGAGTTAAATTTTTATCAAAGTCGATAATCATAGGTGGGAAATCTCCCTAATTTTCTTCAATTAAGCAGTCATTCTCTAGTGTAAATTTTGATGTCCTAAGAATCGCACATGCCATAGATTTGGTTGGTGCAAGGAAGGATCCTCTTTGGTTTCTCTTCGATATAATTTTGTCAGCTGGTAGCTTCTAAATGATCAGCTCAACCTATTAATCATGAAATTAATCATTTAATCCCAATTTTAGGCTCAGTTCATTTCACCAAGTTTTGGTATACTTGGTCCCAACGATTTTATAATCATGGTTATCATAAAAGTGCATTATAAAAAGTTGTCCAAGTTCACCATTTTTGTTACGTGCATAATCCAGTTGTCAACAAATAGTGCATAATGTTGTTCTCCGAGTAATTGTAAAGTTGTTTATGTGTGACCTATACAAGCTGTGAAAGCAGTCACTAATTAGGGTAGGTCTACTACGTGAATGCCGGATTTATGAGAACATACATGTGGCCTTCTGCCCCATTGCTACATAATTGAAAACATCAGCTCCAGACCGGTGTGCACGTGCAACTAACAAACGCATCGCCCCTGTTGGTTTTGATAATTGCAGGATCTTCAACTGGCCTTCACTTTGCCAGCAAATATCTCTGTTTTAAAATGAATGCAACAAGTTTTTCATAATAGAAGATGGGACAGTGAGCTGGCATGCAAGTAATAGTAAATATTATGGAATTATTATGGCGTCTTTGGTCCAAATTTGCCTTTATTTTATACATCGAGTGTTTCCCATTTGCTGGGCATCATAGTTATTCAAATCCATAAAAAAAGGGTTCTGCAAATGCTTTCCTTGACTAGTAATGTTATAAATTGCTTATTATGTCGTAGAAATTATACCAGGTAGCCACTCTAAAAGGCTGCTATTTAGTAATTAGCCAGCATGTCTTGAATTTCAGTTTTCCAGGACAAAAATGTCCAGAGTTGTACTGAAGTTGGAATTTTTAGTTTAAAATTTTAGGACAAAATAAGTACTGGCTAATCTTTAAGGAGTCCCTCTTAGAATGATCATCTCTGCACTTGCCCCTATTATGACCTAGGATTTGAAGGGCGCGATTGTATTTTTTGCATTCAACCAAAATCTACTTTGTATATAGAGTTTCACTATTAATATCACTATTTTTTAAAGATATATATTTGTATAGATGAAATTTTTGCCAAACTTTTCGGGTGTCAGTGATCCCTGTCTTTACAACATAAGTCCGTCTCTGATCATGTCCGTTTCTGAGGTGTTCCTTAAAAGGGGAATTTTTCTGTTTCACCACATCCCGGATTTCCTTGATACAGAGTTGCAACATTAACAAGACAACAATCGAATTTTGTGAAATGTTGTTTTAAGCTATCACATTATAAAGAACAAATGATCCAAAGCAAAATTGTATGTTTTGGCTGCATCATATATATGGGACAGTAGCACATTGATAATAGAAATTTAGTAATCAATTAGATTCAGATTCTCATTTTGGTGAAATTTTTCCATGTTGGTATATTCGTGTACCCTTTGCAATGTTTCGCATAAAATGTTTATAAATTGTGGTTTTGGTCGAGGAAAAAATTTCAGATATTCGTAGATTCTTGGTTCAATTATTGTAAAGTCACGCAACTTCTGAAATTTCATATTGGAATTTTTTGTTGAAAGAAAAATTCACAAACCTGTTTTTGCTCTTAATACTAAGTTCAATAAAAAGATTTGGCTATTGTTTCCTTTAACACTATGGACAAGAAAATCTCACTTACTGGTGATTAATTTTCCTTTGTGAAAACCCGTATCTGCACCCGGTGTTTACACACACATATATAGAATGAACACAGGGGCAGAGCTAGAAGCCCGCATGCCGGTTTGACGGAACTCGGTAACTTTTGCTCAAACAGTGTATTTCTGTTAAGAAATTCATTAAATATGTATAAATATTAAATTTAGAATCCAATTAATAGTACTTGAAGTTGGTTCTAAAATTCAAAACCCACAAAGTTAAAATCCAGGCTCGGCCTATCAACGAACATGACTAAAACTTGCTAAAAGCTGAAGCTCAAAAGTTCTTTACTTAGGAACAGGAACCCTTAGGTTAAGGATAGTACAGCACGATTCATTAGTGTTTAATATAGAAACTTCATCTCGGTTTCTTTGTGCATTTTGCTAGATTACAACTGTCAAATTAAGTTTAACTATTAGACACAGCTGTTTAGAGTTTCTAATTATAAACTAAGCCAGGGAAGGCCACAGCCCCCAATAAAAGATTCAACTTTACATTTATTGAGATCTGTACCTTCCATTATACTAATCAAATTTAGAGTAATATTTCAAAGTAAATGCATCACAAACATTACAATGAAACATCATGTTCCCTTCATTAATTCAGTAGGTATTTCAAATATTCTATCGGTTCCACGTGCATTTTCTTTGATTTCCCCCACTTTGCAGACAATTACATAACAACAATTAAATTATTCTTCAAAAAACAGTCTAATTAATACAAAGGGAACTTTCCATCCTACCACATGAATGGTTATGAAATCTTCCATTGAAAACCTCTATATATAAGGTTATCAATACACTGTCCTAAGCAACATTACCTCAAAGAACAAGCCAAAAATCATCAAACATATCAAGAATAATACACAACCATGTCTAAGTTTCTTGTTCTTTTCTTGATCCTAACAGAAACATTTGTGTATCTTGCCATGGCTGAAAATGCAACAAATTTTGCAAGTTCTCCTGCTTCTAGTCCATCACTTTCGATTCGAAAACTTGGAAAACATCATCAAGAAGAAGGGAGGAACAATTTTTCTAAAGAAGTTGGTTCTCCACATCAACAAGAGATTAATGAAGTTGATGAAGCTCATGAAATCAAGATTAAGCATCATCATTTAATTGATAAGTCAATTTTTGGAGGTGGAATTATTCTTGGAGGCTTAGCAACAACATTCTTTGTGGCAATTTTTTGTTACATTAGAGCAACTAGAAGGAAACATATTGAGCCAAGTTCCCCTAGTGCTTCTTCCTCAGCAGCATAATTGGACAGTTGATATTAGAGATTACACCCCCCCCCCCCCCCCCCCCCCCCCC